ACTATATCAAATACAATATCACTGAGATGGCGAACAATGAGAATTAGAAAAATATCAATTATGGGATTACCATTTGATCCAACACTAAATTCTCAGGGCAAAAATTCCTAATAACGAGTAGAAGAAAGTAAGGAGAATTTGTAAAGAGATCTTGGGAGTGAAAGGGTTATTTAACTATAGTTCAACCAACCTCTCAGGCCTCAAACATGCTCCAACATGATAACTAAGTACCAACTCAGAAAATTCAACCTCAGTATGGATTTTGTGTGGGAATTTCTGTGGATACTTAAGGGATGTTATTCAATAATCTGAAATTTTACCTTTTTCTGCTTTGCAGGGGCTGAAATCGAACAAAGAACTACTGCTTCCATAGGTGCAGCTCGTCAAAAGATTGGCAAAGAAATCAGTGAGTTAAATGAAAAATTGAAAGTGTGCAAGGATGCTATACAACAAATGAAGGCTGAGATAGCCAAGCTAGAACAACAGGAGATTGAAGGACCAGAACAAAGCACAGCACCAGCTGTTGTACAGTGAGAGAAAAAAAAAGTGCTGTCTTCTGCAGCCTTCTTTCATGAGAAATCTGAACAGTTCCATTTGGTGTTTGGAAATAACATAAGTGTCGTCTAAACTTAAGAGCCATTGATATTTCTTGAGCTGCATACAACAGCTTCAATATATAAAAAACTGGCTCTGCCTATCATTTTTAAATTATAATAGTCTAGATCTGAGTTGGTAAGGTGAAAATGAAGGTGTAATCAATAGGCAGTGAAGATGTGCTTCTTACATAGTTTTGGTTTCTCAAAGAACACTCAGACAAATCCTATGCAGCTTTGATACAAAATATCCAATCTGCTACATAGATCTTGAGGATCTGAACAGTACAGCCCTTTGAAAAATATGATTCAAGTTGATTTAAAATTAATTAATAGGTACAACTCCTTTCCTTATTGTTTTCTAAATGTTCACAACTTCTCAGAAATATTCTGAGATATGTCTGAACCATTGACTTACTGAAGAGACAAGGTAACTGTTGCATTTTTCTATAACCTTCCTCTTCTAAACATCGTATGCAAAGGGTAAAAAGTTGAGGCTCTGTGAACTCAAACAAGTAATCATCTCAGCAGATGAAAAAGGCATTGGCACTTCTACATCAAAGCTATATGGTTCTGGGTCTTTAAAGTTAATATAAATCTACAAGTATTTCTGTAATCTCTCTCTGTAAATGTGGTGCAAGAGCAAGGTTTGTTAGACTTATTACAATAATCAGTGATCGCTCTTAGTAAAGGAGATCACTGGAATTGGCACAATTCCTGAGTTATGTACCCATTGAATCATGATGCAAGGTACAGAAGTCTATTTAACAATTATTCCACTAGTGCGCGTTGGATATGAGATGATAGAGAGCCAACAAGGCGCGTAGCGCCGAGTTGGCTATAATCATTTCATATACAACAAGCGAGAGTGGAATAATTGTTTTATTAAAAAAACGCCCCCAAGATATTAGATAAATCTTCTTGACTTTATTTTGTGNNGATGCAGAGTCTTGAAGCAAGGAGACATGGTTTAGTCTGAGAATCAAGCAATTTTCAAGAGTGGATCAGTCTGACAAAGCCTTCCTGCCTTCTCTTCTTAGTGCAGGCATTAGTGGGACTAGACCTCAGCTGAAACGTGATGGAATGGCCTGAACTTGGTAACAGAGGACCAAAGTAGCAAAAACAACACTATCTGAAGGTTGGGGTTTATTTGCTTCCTTATTTACAGAATTATAAAGCGTAGCTTAGACTCCCCTACAAAGCTTTATAATGTTATCCTTTCATGGAGAGCTTGGGTTTCCTGTGGTTAAACACATACCTCAAAATTCTGATTTGAAGGCCCGCCCTGCTTTTAAGCCTCCCTTAAACATCAACAGTCTTCAAAATAAATTCGAGGAGCTATCTAAAATCATCCAAAGACTAAACATACACACTATGTTTGTGAGTGAAACCAAGATTGACTCATCATTGCCAAACAACCAATTTACCCAGAGGCAGCCCAAGCTCTCTCTGAGAACCACACAAGGAACACAATTTGCATATTTATAAGGATTTGTATGGGATTTTCTACAAGATCTCCATAGAGATATTGAAAAGTGAAAATATTAAATAGAAATGGCTTACCTTATTCCATACATGTGTCATTTGCTCCTGGTGTCGTTATTTTACCGATTTCACTTGATTTAAGTAGTTTTTCTTAATCCTGGTTTTCTACCACATAAAGAGAAAATCCTTGTAGAAAACCAGGATTTAAAAAAAACCGCTTAGATCAAGTGAAATCGGTAAAATATCGACACCAGGAGCAAACAACACACGTATGGAACAAGGTAAGCCATTTTTATTTAATATTTTCACTTTTAACTATTTCTGTGGATATCTTGCAGAAAATCCCATACAAGTCCTTATAAATATGCAAATTGTGTTCCTTGTGTGGTTCTCAAAGAGAGCTTGGGCTGCCTGTGCTCATTCCAGTCCTAATACTCTCAAGTCCAAAGTGGCGGGCCCCATTGGCATCATCTCGTGTCTCGTGTGGAATATTTCATTTAAACAGCAACAATTTTTTGTCATCCACCTCTTCTAACTGTGGATTCCCTCTTTGTTGGATAGTTCCATTTGTTCAGTTGTAAAGTACTTCAGATCTCTGGTGGATCACAAGTCACCTGGACAGTGCTCACTGCGGCACGTAAGCTTATGTATGCAAGGTCATGCTCGCGTAGTGATGAGTATTTGCGAGAGCTATTCAGCCTATTCAAAGGTCAGACGTGAATCATCTTTTAAAGATCGTTTTATTCTTAGCTTAATGGTTAAGGCCGGGTTAACGTCACTTTATTTTCAAGTAAAAAAGGGCCTGACAAAATAAAAAGACTTTGTATGCTTGGAGTATGATACGTATGGAAATATGGCCTAACAAACATAGATCAGAGAAAATTCAAGCATCTTTAAAGAATATTGTCGTATCTAGGTCAGAACATCATCATTTTTGCTCTATGATGGGTACTAGGTTTTCAATTATTACCTTACTTTATTTTGCTAAACCGCTAGGTGTTTGTAATGCTAATCAGAGGCCTTCTTAGCGCATTTATCAGCTATGAGTCGAGGTGTTTCTAGATAATGACACTGATTTGGCTTTGATGTTTCATTTTCACTCACCTAATACAAAATTAAGGCCTTATGTCAATAATTTGGTCTGTCAATAGCATGAATTATGCTGAAAACTCCATTTTGCTTGGCCTTAGGGAGCATGGAGAGTTTATGCCAAAGGCCTAACAAATCTTAATAAGCCAAATTTTTCTCAACTGATTTTCATAAATGGGGCACTAAAGTAGATACTGGATTTGGTATAAAAGTTATGCAAGGAGGCAGGTTAGTGTAATTGTTTTTTGAAAAATGGTAATTTTGGGTAATGATTTTGACCTCAAATTTGACCTAACTTTAGCCCCAGGTGCTTCTCTGTCTAACCATTTGAGAACAAAGTTATAGTTATGAAGTAAAAGGTCCACCATAGCAGAGTTCATGGTCAAATTCGTTTGGCAGCAGAATTTACCAGTGGAGTTTTACAGCACTTTAAAAATGCCAACTAGAAGGATGAATTTTTGGTGCTTCACAGGCCATAAATGGGACCCCCCCCCCTCTGAAACTCCAGAACAAACAGTCAGAGAAGTGAGCCAAAGTGGATTTTGAAATATCTTATCATGCTCCACTTTTGTGCCAAGTTTCAGCCGAATCGGTTGACCACCACCTCTGGCCTCTGGAGCACTTTCTCAGACAGGGACACTTAAGGCAATTAAGGAACTACTTCCATCTGACTCTGTCATCCATCGCTGCGTTGTCGATTTTGAACTGGCAATATGGTCTGCGGTGCAGTCTGTTCTTGCAGATGTGGAGATAATGGAATGCGTGTTCCATTGGACTCAAGCTCTGTGGAGGAAGGTAATTACAAGTTACAGAATATGTAACATCACATATGTAATGTAATTGACATCAACCCAGGAATAGACCCAGGCCCCTCACAAGCTCGGTCATAGCACCAAAGATATAAAATTCTGTAAATCATACTAATTTTTTCCCATTTTTCTCAGGTGCAAGAGTTGGGTGTGACCATGGCATATGATAAAGATGATGGGACCCACTCATTCATTCATTCCCTGATGGCATTACCATTCCTGCTGGCGCAAGAGATTGAGGTGCAGTTTGACTGTATACATCAGAATTGTCTACCTGGCCCTCTAGAAGACCTAGTCAACTACGTTGAGACCACCTGGATAAATGGCACTTATCCGCTGGAGTGCTGTAGCATATATGGGCAGCCAATATGGACCAACAATGCATGACTTAGAGGGCTACCATAATGCCCTCAACAGAAGAGCAGGTGGCCGCCAGAACCTCCCCTTCTACACGCTGGTTGAGCTTCTTCACAGGGAAGCTGGACTCAGTCCAATCCAAACCCGTCTCGTCTCCCAAAAGAAACTCAAGCGTCATCAGCGCATGACATATCGGTGACTGCAAAGAAAGATCATGGGTGCATGGGAAGATTACTCGGATTCCAAGATAACTGCAAGACAGTTTCTTCAGACCTGCAGCTACATTAATGGACCAACTCATATGGAGTAGTAAGTTAGTTTAGAGATTGGCAGAAAATTTCAAAAGTTCCTCTTTTAGTTGGGATATATAATGAGTGCAATGTAGTCTGAAATCATACACATGATATCAAAAAGCGAACGAGTGCACAACATGAGTTCGATTTGAAAACACAAGTATAATACCCAAATTTGCCAAGCAGTGGCTTTTTTCTTTCATTATCTTTCAGTGGCTGAGAAACAGATGAGATTTAGAGCAAAAGATAATGCAATTTGTGAACAAACTGCACCACTGAGAGCCAATCACATTGCAAGGATAACCAGTGATTTAATAAATAAAGAAAAAACGTCTTTAATTATGTTCCAATACATTTTCGTCCCAACGTCACATATGTGTGACGATAAATGCGGCTGACCGATGCTGAGCCCGCTAGGGGTGAAATACTTGATTGCAATAGCCCCCCTCTGCCTCATTTGAAGCCTGGCGATTTTTGTCGGTTTCTTCGGTGTTTTTCATGTGAATTTGCCTGCTTTTGACCGAAAAAATTGCGATTCTTTTCTGTTCGAGTTTTCGCGCGAAGTTCAGGAACAGCTGATCAGTAATGGCTTCAACTTCTGGAAGTGAATTTGTAGTAAATTCGGCTGCAGAGACTTCTCAAAACGTGGATTTAGTGTTCGTAGACGAAGATGAAATGCCATTGACTTCTGTAGCTATAGGCACGGCATATTTAGAGCGAGAGTCTGACGAGGAAATTGACTCAGACTTTTATCAGACTGACTCTGACGAGGAAATTGACTCAGACTTTTATCAGACTGACTCTGA